GGTATCCCCTTTCAAGGGTTCCACCAATTTTTGGAAACCCTGAAGCCTACATTTAGAAGAGCCAGCCCTGCTCAACCTGCAGCCACGAGACGCTCTGGATCCTGCGCAGTGTCTTGCCTCGCATCCCAAACTGGGCTGTTTTACTGGGTTGCTGTGAAGGAACTTAAGCTAAGTTACCATATCCTGGGTATATGGGTGGTGGTCAAATTTGTGGTCCCTTTCTGGGTACCCTAAGTATTAGGTGCCGTATTATAATAGGGACGCAAAAAAGGACCATAATGTTGACAACCACCCATATAGTAAATAATAGGGTTTCCTCAGTGTAGTAACTTAATTTAAGTTCGTCAACAGCAACCCAGTTTATGTATGGGCCTCTCTGAAACAAAACGCAACCCTGCGCCTGTCTCCGCATGCATCCGTGTGGCTGATGACCGGACGTGACGTCTGGACCACCTTAACTCTATGTGTTTTCTACATAGCAAGTTCCCAGTTTCCATTTCGTTCTTCGTTTGATTCTCCAGTAAGTAAATCCCATTTTCTCGTCCAGTCGACTGCTACAAAGAACTCAACCAGAGGCATCACCACCTAGCCCACACCAACTGGTCGCTGGAAGGCCAAGCCACAGATTCCTGAAGTTGCTCAGTCATGGTGCCTGCTTCGGCCTGGGTGGTATGAGAGAGGCCAGAAGCATCCCCACGCACAGCTGGTGTCCTCTTGAGCCCGTGGCGGTTGCTTGTGTTTGACTGGCTTGGTTCAGAGATGCCGATGTTGTCTGCCTGGGCCTGAAGCTGACACAACCGACGCAAGCATTGCACACGCTCTCGCTGCCACTCACTGGGAGGGAGACGCTGAGCCTGACAAGAAACCTTGGCCCACGATTGAATGCGGCTTTCAACCCAAACCGAACGCTGTGCTCCTGGCCCAGATCCAACTGAGCCTCGTCTGTGTCACCGGCACCGGCCTGGGTCAAGAACGGAATGCAAATGCCTCGCGATGCACGTCCTTGCATTGGTCTGTTTCAGTGCCACATGTCTCATGACGTGACTAAGGCGACCGCCACACCACCTTGTCTCTGCAGTCTACGCAGCAAGCGCCGATGCCTGATCACGTCTTTTGAAATCAATGTGGCTTTTCAGGATCGTTCTGTGCGCAGATGGCTTTGATGCAGCAAGTACAGAACAAAGTACTAGGAATACGTCTTGCGCTGGTTTCCCAAACTGAGCATTCAACATAATGCCGCTGTTCTTGATAGAGCGGTGCACGTAGGCATGAAGATCCACTGAGGCAGCAACGCATGAAGCTGGTCTTCAGGAACTCCAGCGGATTCTAACCTGCCAAAATCCATCTGACAATTCTGCTTTGACTTTTGATCCTTCATTTTTCTGATGCTGTAAGACAGCTGTGCATGACTGGTTCAACCTTTTGTGTGCAGTCAAATACTGCGATGTTGCGATCCGATTCGCTGCTTCAGCAAGCTCAGGAGCACAAATAGCGTAATGCTGCATAGCAGCTTCAAAGACCTGTGCCGCGCATGCGGCGTCGGCCTCCACCCGTCTGTGCAGCATCTGCTGCCACAGCCGCAAACCAGCCTGCCACCGAGGCACGCAGCACGCGCTGATGGCATCGCTGTGGCTTACAAGATCTGGCTGTGCAGTAGCCACACTGATGTATTCGAGCATTGCCAAAGCTGACGACCACTGGTGCAGGTCACTGTGCAGTGTGATCGCATTTGATAAAACGACCTTGTTCAGCATGAAGTTGTCCGGCCGCGAATACAGCAAATCCACTGTCGATCTGCCAGCATGACGATGACTGGTCCAAACCATGCTGTATGCGAAGGCATCCATCTCCATGCGAAAAGAATGCATTCTATCCAGAAGACTGGCCGCAAAATGCCATTGTGCACTCTTGAGAAGGCTGTCGCTTGCCGCGTTAAATGCAAGGCTGTTGGCTTTGATCTGAGTCTCGCTGAGCTTGCCGAGCAAGGTCAATGCTTGTTGCCAGCTTGTTGCGTCAATTGAAGCTATGACTGACGTGATGCCAACAACATCCATCTGCGACACAGTCGCTCCACCATCCGCTTGAAGGTATGAAGCAAATTCCCAGCATGCTACCTTCGAGCATGCACTGCAAGCCGTGTTGTGAAGAAACGTATTAAGCTGCATGCCTCTCGCCACCGACTGATGGACTAGCGAAACAGCACCTTCCCATGTGGCTCTTCTGTCTAGCGCGGTACCCAACGAGCTGACGCACACAAGATTCGGGCGTGTGCTTTCGATACTCATAGTTCCAATCAGGGCCAACGCCGTCTCCCATTCTGTGCTGCAAGCGTGGACTGCCGAGCTGCATGTTATCTCATTGATTCTCAGGACAACTCTCTGCATGCGGTCAAGGATGCCGATTGCATGTTCCCATTGTTGACAACATTTCTGACTATTGATCAGGACGCCAAAGCTCGTCTGACTAGGGCGGACTGCCAGCTTGGAAGCAGATAGCACAACCTGACAAGCAAGTTGCCACTGGTCGACCAATGCCTGTGCTGCACTGTTTACTGTGATGATATCCTGCTTCACGGATTGCTGACGCACCTGGTTGTGCAAGCAGAGCGCCTTGCTCCATGGACTGCCAGCAAAAGAGGGCAGAGCCGCGTTGAAACTTACAAGGCTTACTTGAAGTCCATGCGGAAGCTGGTTTAATATGCAGCTGGCGCAAGTCCAAGCCCGGCTGCGAGAGCAGGCTGTCAGTCGTTGGTTGTAATCTACGACATCCGCCACAGTACGTGCCTGCAACAAACATTGCAGGCTGGCCAGCGATGTTTCCCACAGTTGAAAGTCTGACCTGCGATGGTGTCTCGGAATGTTGGTGGTGCACTCTCTGTCTCTGCTAGCGGCTACTCGACTGCTGCGCAGCCAGTCACCACACAAGCGCCTCTGATTGCCAAGCCTGCTAGGGTGGGATCCAAGCTTTCCCGGAGCCACGAGCTTGGTCTCAGGCTCTGCATGGGGTAGCCCTGTCGGAACCGTGCAGCTCCGGATCTATGTTAAAGCCGTGCTGCACCAATGAGCACGACCATTAGACTGAACTTGCTGACCACTCTGAGCCAAGAATGCCGGAAAGGGTCGGGTTGACAAATAATTGGCTCCCCAGTTTCCTCACGCCTGCCGCTGTTGCTCACGACAGACTGCTGATGTTAGGGCTTGGGGTCCGAGCACGCTCTCAGAACAAAGAGAAATATCATTTGAATAATTCAGTTAAACGGGGATACCTCGTTATGCAAAGCAGGCAAGGATTTTCAAGCCCTACAAGCTGGATAGGCAATAGCGCTGTAGCGAAAGCAGCCGCCGCCTGTGAAAAAGGTCGCTGCCACAGTGAAGGGCTGCTCGCACCTGTACGTAATGTATTTGTACTATTATCTTCTACACCATATGGGGGTTTCCCAAAATTAGGGGTACCCTTATTGGGGGTCCCCATAATAAGGACTATAGTATTTTGGGGTCTATATTGGGGTCCCCTAATTTTGGAAAACTACCATATAGATTCTAGACTCTAGACCAAATGTAAGTACACATATTAAACGAAAACAATGTACATCTACACGCATGTAAGACTTACTTTGCTCTGCATAACATACAAGATGCGGTGTAGCTGCGAAGAAACAAACGTTCAGGCCGTCTCCTGCCTCTCGCCAGCTGAAGGCTTCAAGCGCCGCACCTGGGGCTTCAAGCATCTGAGCGGACATATTGGGATAATGGAAAAGAAAATGGAAACTACTATAATTATAGGGGTTATATAAGGATTATAGGGTATATATTGGGGTAATATTATGCCAAAAAGGTTCCTTGCGACCCGCCCGGAAATGCATGACAAATTTTGCTCTTCTTTCACACATGCTCTGCGGAAATCCGCACATACATTGCGTTTTGGTGCAGCAAGAGCGCATGAATTGGCAGACCTTGCCAGCTTCACTGCAGCCCCCTCCTAGGCTCCAGGCTTTGGAACACCCATAGGACGAAGAGCCCTGCATATGCGCGCGCAGCTGTCAAACCTTCACCGGATCACTTTGGGGTTTGCTGAAAGGCATTTTCTAGGGTCATTGCTGCAGCAGAAGTTTCAACACTAACTGCCTGTGAGCGGAGAGAGCAGAGAGAGCCTCAGCGCTCTTGCGTAGCAGTGGGAGTGGGCGAGCTATGTTTTCTAGCTAGGTTGTTTGAACTTGGGAAATGTATCCAGCGTCTCCATTTCTGCTTATGTGTTGGTGCCCAGCATGTAAGTCAAGAGGCGCCCGTCTGCAACTCCATCTAACAGCTGCGATGTCCTGACAAGGCAGATGCCATCTTACAAGGCAGATGCTATCTTAGATGCCACCGGCAGGTTCTTGCAGGAACGACGTGGCGTTCATCATCTCCGCAAAAGATTCGTTAACTTCATGGGAACATTTGATTGGTGTATACCCGGTGGCATAACATTGTGGTGTTGAATGGAATGCTTACTCAGGGAAGATTCTTCAATGCACAAAACTGCTCATCTTGACAGAGTCCGCTGCGTCTCCTTCAGCTGCCAGCAGATTTCTGCCAGACCTTATTAGGGATTAGGGACATGCGGGATGCGAAGTAATAAGATTTTAGGGGGTCCCTTTAGAAATCAACAGTTGAGGAGATGGACTGACAGCCACCCACCCCATTGGACAATGTTCATCTCGTGCTGCTGCTGCTAGCTACCACCAATAATAATGATAATGCTAATATTAATTGTAAAATGAGCATCTGTGACCATGACGACGATCGTGATATCGATATTGATATAAAGCGACAAAGCCAGGTCTGTGGCAGGTGTAGATGCCTTCAGGGCTTGATGTGCAAGTGGGCCACCTGTTCCAAGGCCCGCTACATCTTGCAATGCTTCTTGATAGTGCCAACTGCGGTTTGCGGGGCAAACATCCTGAGGATATTATGTCCGGTACAACGGTAGGCTAGCTACAGTACGGTACCTTCGGGCGTGATTCAAGGATGGCACCTCTGGAGGATCACCTCGCAGGTGTCCAGGCATCGTCGGGAAGCTTGCAAGTAGGCCTGCCTCTCGGGATGCGAGCATGTCTTTCCTTTCCCCGCCAGCCGAAAGGCTTCTGCTGCGTGGAATAAGCGCTGAAAGCGCGCTGCTGCCCAACTGCCATCTTCAAGCCAAAGGCTGGCGAAGCTTTCGCCGCCCTCAAGTCGCCAGGCAATTGCGCACCATCGTGCAGCCTGATGCCAGTTTCCACTGCGAAGATGTCGCTCAGCCACTCTGTTGCAACAGTTACGCCCCAGAAGTGCTACCGATCTTTGCTCTTCAGACCAGTTTTGGCCATGTTCGAAGGCATGTACAGCACCAGCTGCGGCCAGCAGGTCTGCCTCTGATTGCAGTGTCTCCTCCTCCACTGCAACCACTGCAACCAGTCGGCAAGCCTCACTGGCTGCCTGCTCATACTGTCGGGCGTGCCAGTACTCCCAAAGCTGGGAAAAGGCAGCCATGGCGTCTTCATACCAAGCATTGCCCTCTCCGATAGCTTTCAGTGGCTCTTTGTCTGCGTGGTGATTTTCAACGCGTGCCCAGCTGCTAAAATCGGTGTCTCTCAGATTTTGTTCGACTGGTTTGTGTGCTTGACTAACAGGTTGCTGGTCTCTGTCACAGATTGCTGGAGAATCCTTAGTTCGTGCGCACTCGCGCAAGCCAACTTGGGCGTCGGATGATGGACAATTTGCTCTCCCCCAAACAACAAGGTAATCCTTGCACGAGCATTCTCTCACCACTTGTGACCGCAGGCTTTCAATGCCATGCGCCAGAACACATGATACATAGGACGTAGGAGTTTCCTAAAATTCGGAGTTCCTTCTTGTGGCTCCCTACCATGAGGATTGTAACATCTTGGGGTTTACATTGGGGTCCCCTATTTTGGGAAACTACCACATCTACAGCCGGAACTTGTGTCCAGCCATACGTTTTTCAGCCTACCCGGCCCTGCGTACTGCCGGTGCCATGGAAAGCCACGGAGCTGACTTCATACTCCTACCATACGGTAGTTTCAATTTCATTTTCCATTTTTTCGAATTGATTCTCCATCAGCCCATTATTATCCTTTATACAACTCGTATATAGAAGCCCCCATCATGTACCCTACTCTCCTAGTCCGCATATCATCCCCAGATCTGAATATCTCCCACTGAATGATGGTGAACCCTAAAACCCTAAACCCTAACTCCTACTATCTCACAGTCACCAAGGGCATTTCTCGCGACGTGGGCTCCTCGAGCGATCGGCCCGAGTCTCCTGCAACTCAAGCATCTTGCAGTATCCTCGTTAAAGGGGCTATAGGGGACATATAGGGACTGCTTTGGCGTTATATAGCTTTTAAAGGTTTTACGTCGCGTTTCCCACAATTGGGGATTCATTATTACTGCTATGACTGTGACTGTTATCATTATTGTGAAGATTGTTACTTCGGCTACCAGTAGTTATATCCCAAACATAGCCATGGATACCCTTGCAAGAACCTTTCCTTTCTGTTCTGCCCTAAGGAAGTCCAGGTAGGGGCATAGACAACAACATAACATCCACCTTTCCACATGAGGAGGTCTGAGGTTGGCAGGGTCCTGCTTTTTCGGCTGACCATCGACCCATCCGCCCTGCGCTCTGGCAAGACAGGAGGAACGGACACAAAACCGCTGAGGAGACCTGCTGGCAGCGAGCCTCCAGAACGAGCTCAACCTCTGCGTCTGAATAGTTTCGCCAACCGGTCCTTGAACAACCGCTTAACTTGGAAGATTGAGCCTTGCGGCTTCAGGACAACTGCCACGATTTGGACTCCTCGGGGGACGATCAGCATCGCACTCGGCGTAGAAGCACTCGCCGCCGGACCTGAGGCTCAAATTGGATGCATGATGCCCTTTGCAGCGGCATGCTTGGAACATGACTGTGACTTACACAACTGCGAGGTAAGCGGCGCATCACAAATCCACCATGTAGGCTTGTCATCGCCACCCAGGGTAAAAGCAATGCTTGGCCGTGCCCCTTCCGTTTTAGGCCTGTCAGAAAAGAATGCGAGCAGCTCATGTGGTGCTCAGCCCTTGCAATGCTGCATTCAAGTTGTCTGCATCTGAGCAGCCCAAGGAACACCGGCTTGCCATTTTCTGTCTGGGAGCTTTGCACGTATCTCCCAAACACATCAAAGTCCTGCATGGGATCCAAGGCAAGTGCAACTTGTAATTTGTAACTTCAATGGATTGCTGGTCACGCCTCAGAAGCTCCCTGCCAGAAAACCTGAAAACAGAAGCCTCATCTTGACCCAGTTGTGCATCAAGTCCATGCAGGGGCAACAGCAATGAGAGACAGGGCACATGCCAGGTATTGTAGGCCAAAGGCAAAGACATATCAAAACATATCAAACTGGAGGGAGGCCCTGTTCCCAGTGACTATTAAAAGCAGCGTTGTGTGCGCAGTAAAACCTGTTCCTCTACAGCCCCTTCAAACGGAACTTATATAAACCCTTATGACTTGGGTAGCCCTAAGCCCTAAATCCTAAACCCCATTAATCTCTATAAGCCCTTAAAGAGGAACCTATCCCAAACCATGGTCTAAACTCCTAGTACCCCCCCTAATAACTCCTATAATGCTCCCCTAAACCATGGTCTAAACTCCTAGTATCCCCCCTAATAACTCCTATAATGCTCCCCTAGATAATCCCCCTTTAAGGACCTTAGACTATAGCTCAAACAATCTACCCTAAACCCTAAACTCTAAGGGATTTGGAACCCCAGTAGAAATTGTAATTTCAGCTAA